TATATATATATAGGACCGATCAAACTCGGCATCGTATTTGTTGTGAATGCATTAAATTAAATTTAAATTAAATCAGTGAAAGAGCTCTTCTCGGATTGATAACCCTCGGATTGTATTGGACGCGCGTGGTCATTCAAAAAGATTTTGAAATTGTTGTTTTACGATTGTTTATAGTTTCTGTTTATGATGTGTATCCTCTAGATCTATAATCTATTACTCGTTTAACTATCGTTTGGTTGCTTTACTTTCGTATAATTTTATGTATCTTGGTTGTATTTTTTTCTTGTTTGGATGTTATTCTTCCTCTCTTGATAGAAGTCCGGGTCCTAATTAGTTTTTATGAAATTATCAGTTTGACCCCAAAAAAAAATAAAAAAATTAATAATGTGAATAGCGACTTCCAACAACTGACCGTTCAAAGGTAATCAAGGAAATGTGACTACAATTCAAAGAAATTAACTTAGGTCGATAAGATAGAACGCCAAGTAAAAGGATTCAAGAAATAATAGTAGTTTGGTCTATACGTACGTCATTCTTTCTTTATTTTAAGTAGCTTTCCCGGTCAAATCTAGTAGAGATCTTAGTGGTTTTAATAATGTGATGGGATAAGGTTATAGAAAAAATGGTTTCTTGGTGTGTTGTGCCAAAATTGGCAAGAAAATCTTTTATTCATCATTGACGTGTAAAGAACGTGATACTGTTGCCATTGTTTTTCTTCAATGGCCAAAAATATCTCTCAAAAATATCTTCAATAATAACGTGATACTGTTGCCATTGCTTTTCCTATAGTGGCCAACAAAATTTATTTCAAAACAAAATGAACTAGTCTTTATTCTTTTTTTTGGGTAGTTTGAATTGTTGAATCAGCAGCATAAAAAGAAATACACTTATAGAAAATGTAATCTTTCCCATTTAGTCGAACTACTACTGCATTTAGTCCAGTAACAGTCACAGCCTGATCCTCAATTTGCATCGACGACCTCACAAAAATGTTCGGTTCAAATTAATTTGAGATATTTTCCGGTCAAAAAAAATAAAACCGGGAAAACCAGAAGACGCCACGTGGCAAATACACCTCACCCAAAACGGCCACACACAGAGTCCATATAAAGCTTCTTCCTTCCGACCTTTACGACTTCGCCAACGTATTCGTGACTTTGTGATTGGATTCTCCACTCACTCCAGATTTGAATAAACACAACCCAAACAAATCGAGAGAGAGAAGTCAGATATGGCGGCAACACCGGCGACGAAGTGGCGTGACATCGATGATCTTCCTAAGATTCCGGCCAACTACACGGCGTTGACGCCGCTTTGGTTCCTTGATAGGGCTGCGATGGTTCATCCGACGAGAAAATCGGTGATTCACGGATCCCGAGAGTACACGTGGCGACAGACTTATGACCGGTGTCGCCGACTCGCCTCCGCTCTCGCCGATCGATCTATCGGCCCCGGTTCCACGGTAATCGATTTTACTCTAGCTGAAATGTTTCATTTCCGAAATTTTGTCAAAATCAATTCGTTCAAAAGAAAAACATTAGAAACTGTTTCCTGTAGATTTTTCCCAATCAATCAATTATAATCGATTTCATATAGAATCTGTTTTAGGGAATCATCATGATTATGGAAGAAATCGCAGATTACAACCATAATGTTCTGAAACTAATTGCTCTCGCATGATTCTTGTTGATCGATGCACTGGTGATGTTGATGTTTGTTGACTTTTTTTAATGAACAATATTTTGGTTTGGTTGTTTGGTCTTCTTGCAATCTGTGTAATTTCACTAGACCAGAAAATGTTATAATTGTTTCAGGTGGCTATTATTGCACCGAACATTCCAGCAATGTACGAAGCTCATTTCGGAGTACCAATGTGTGGAGCTGTCCTGAATTGTGTCAACATCCGTCTCAATGCCCAGACAGTTGCTTTTCTTCTTAGTCACTCACAGAGCTCTGTTATAATGGTGGATCAAGAGTTATTTACTCTGGCAGAGGAATCTTTGAGACTTATGGAGGAGAAAGCCGGAAGCAGTTTCAAACGCCCACTTTTGATTGTCATAGGTGATCAAACCTGTCCTCCTGAGTCACTTAACATTGCTTTGTCGAAAGGAGCCGTCGAATACGAGGATTTTCTGGCAACTGGTGACCCTAATTATCCGTGGCAGCCACCAGCTGATGAGTGGCAGAGCATCGCTCTTGGTTACACCTCGGGAACAACCGCTAGCCCGAAAGGAGTGGTGCTTCATCATCGAGGCGCATACGTAATGGCTCTGAGCAATCCTCTCATTTGGGGGATGCAAGAAGGTTGTGTTTACTTGTGGACTCTCCCGATGTTCCATTGCAACGGTTGGTGTTTCCCTTGGTCCCTTGCTGTGCTCTCCGGTACAAGTATCTGTCTCCGTCAGGTAGTACTTGAGAGTTCATTTCGCTTAAGAAAAGAAGTTAACATAAATCAGAAGAGCTGATTAAATTTTGGTTTCAGGTCTCGGCAAAGGAAGTTTATTCAAAAATAGTCAAATACAAGGTAACCCATTTCTGTGCAGCGCCTGTGGTCCTCAACACTATTGTCAATGCTCCTAAAGAAGACACTATCCTTCCTCTTCCCCATACAGTCCATGTCATGACCGCAGGAGCTGCTCCTCCACCTTCTGTTCTCTTCTCCATGAACCAGAAGGGCTTCCGAGTCGCTCACACCTATGGGCTTTCTGAGACTTATGGTCCTTCCACGGTATGCGCTTGGAAACCCGAGTGGGATTCCCTCCCTCCTGAGGCGCAGGCCAAACTCAATGCCCGCCAAGGTGTTCGCTATACTGGCATGGAGCAGCTTGACGTCATTGACACTCAGACCGGAAAACCTGTCCCCGCAGATGGAAAAACTGCTGGAGAGATTGTTTTCCGAGGGAATATGGTGATGAAAGGCTATCTAAAGAATCCAGAAGCGAACAAAGAGACGTTTGCTGGCGGGTGGTTCCACTCGGGAGATATTGCAGTGAAACATCCAGACAACTATATCGAGATCAAGGACAGGTCAAAGGACGTTATAATCTCTGGTGGTGAAAATATCAGCAGTGTCGAAGTCGAAAACGTAGTGTACCATCACCCAGCTGTTCTTGAAGCCTCTGTTGTGGCCAGGCCAGACGAGCGGTGGCAAGAATCTCCTTGTGCGTTTGTGACACTTAAGAGCGGTTACGAGAAGCAAGACCATAATAAGTTGGCGCAAGATATAATGAGATTCTGCCGGGAGAAGCTTCCGGCATATTGGGTCCCAAAGTCAGTGGTGTTTGGGCCGTTACCAAAGACAGCAACTGGAAAAATTCAGAAGCATATTCTGAGGACTAAGGCCAAAGAGATGGGACCAGTACCAAGAAGCAGATTATAGGAAGTGGAAAGCTTAAAGACATCATTATGAAAATAATGTGTTGTATGTTTTGTGGAACTTTGCCTTGTGTAAAACTTTTAAATGATAACAGAAAATTTTCATCTTTTTGGTCAACGCTTTCATTTTGTTTATAAATCGTTTACTCTTGATAAATAACTGCGATAAAGATTTACACACTCTTGCAACAGCTATTTCTCACATGGAGCCACCACAAAACAATGGTGCTTTCACGTAACAAACATTGGTGAGGTCACACACATATACAAAATAGACAAGGTATAAAAAAGTCAACGACACTTGACCACAAGGCTCAAACTAATAATCAGATCGCAGTCCCACCATTATTGATGAGGTCAAATATAAAGATTAGTGTGACAATGAAAGCATAATCGACATTAGGATAAACTGTAGCCACTAGTCTCTCATCTCCTTCATATACCTGTATAAATATATACACATATATGTCATATGTGTAATTAACGAGATGTTTTAAATGCATGGGTTATTAATTTTTTTACCTGAGCGATGATTTTGGTAGAATCTCCAACATAGATAGTACAAGCACGTTTCATAAAGCGACCTTTGATTGTGAAATCACAAGACGATTCTTTGGTCTGGTTATGTTTCAAGAATACTTCAACTCTTGTCTTCAATTGAACAGTCGAAGATCTTTTAACCGTGAAGATCTTATCATCTAAATCACTTCCTCTATACACTTGCCATCGATCGTGCTTACTAGTCACCTTTTATACATTCAAATCCAAGGCATAAACCAAGAAAATTCAGCTCAAAAAATTCCGACCGGTTAACAAAACAAAAATCAAGAGGTAATAATTAAGAAGAAACTATAATTAAAAAGACCTTCATTTTCATGGTGACAATGGGAGAGTCATTAGGATCAACCAAAATTCTTTTGTTGTGGAGACCAAAGAGAGGCGTTTTGACTTTGAACACTCTGTTCCCGGTTGCGTCCTTCACTGTATCTCCGGTTATCGTTAGATCTAAGAGTTGAGGACGAACAAACTCAGATCCTACGAGTGGTAGTATCGTGTTGCTGCTGCTAGTCCCATCTTGTTTTGCCATTATTGTTTGTTTCAAAGGAGATGATAAAGAAAACAAGACATTTATCAAGTTTCAATTTATTGATCTTTTGGTCATCATGACTTTTTCCTAATTTATTATGGATCTAAAAAAGATTTCTTAACAAAAAAATAATGACTTTACAGATAATATGTAATTTTCATTTCTATTTTTTTTTTCAATATTAATTTTGCAATCAGATAAAATTTATACCACATACCTAATTATAAACAAAATTTTCCAATATTGGATTATGAAATTAAATCTTCCATTTAACTTTAGATATGATTGAACATAATGATAATATATCCAACAAATTGTATTTAACCATATTCACAAGTGTCATACACTTTTTCAAAATTTACATTCTCATTTATGATCATTAATTGTAAATATTTACATATTCATAAATGTAAATGATTTTTTTGCCAAAAATAAAAAACTTTGACAAACAAAAATAGATCATCAATTAATTATAATAAAAAAATTTGAAGACCAAAAGTTATATAAATAGCCAATCCATAAGATCTTAAACAATAAAAACATTTGAATACCCTACCTAAAAAGAGTTCATAGAAAAAATTATTATGGGTAGTACGAAAACTTTGGTGACTTGTTTCCTCGTAATAATTCTTGCATTTTCGTTGTCTAACCACAACGTTTTGGCTTCAGGTATATTTAAAGTTTGGTTTAGATATTTTGAAAATAAGTAGTGATCATTTCAAAAACTATATTTTAATATGTAGAATTCGTAATGATCATGTTTTTGTTTATATATATATATATATATTAGACATGAATTCAAAAGTTTCATTAAAATTCTATTATTTGGACATGTTATATAACTATCTTTTTATTGAAATGATATAAAATTTACACATGTAGGTATCAATTATGTTTGATATATATATATATTTCTAAAAGGTGGACGGTGTGGTTCTCCTTGTATTCCATGTCCAGTGAAATGTTGTTGCCAAAAGTAATACAAACTTATATACCATCTTTCTCTCAAAATTGATGAGTCTAGCGTTGCATTTATTTTCTCTTAAGTTATTGGACTTGATTTGTATCTTGTTCTTATAAATAAATGCAATGATATAAGAAAACTATTTATTGCAATAAGTATTTTTTTCTCTTGAAATCTATATTATAAAAAGTATTCTTAATCATAAATAAATAGCATAATAATGATGGACTTCATCACAATTCACAACTCTTTTTATAACCTCTCATTAGCAATAACTTAATATTATCATATTATTATAGTGTATTTTTTAAGATGAAGTTGGAGATGGAAAGATTTAGTCAATGTTACATTTTAAGATAGAAATTAGAAAATCACCATTTAAAATAATTATTACAAGAAAATTAAAATTCGTAGTAATCAAGAGGTGAAGAAACTCTAATGAAAACCTTCATTTTCATGGTGACAACTGACAATGGGAGAGTCATTAGAGCAACCCTAATGGGGGTTTCTACACATGATTTTTATAAAATAATAAAATTAAGAAACAATTGGGCTAAGTTTCTCCAAATTTAAGGTATTCATAATTAAAAAAATATTATTTATCTATACTTACAATTTGATTTTGTTTAAGAAACTTATGTTTAGAAACCCCCATCCTCTTAGGATCAACCAAAATTCTTTTGTCATTATGACTTTTTCCTAACTTATTTTTGAAACTAAAAATATTTATAAATTCGAACACATTGGTATATTAAACGACATCGTTTAAGAAACATCGTCTTGAGGTTAGACCAAAAGCAAATGTTTCACTTGCACTCAGCTCCGTTCTGGTCACGACATGAGAGGCTTTGCTTCTTCAGCATCTAGAATAGCGACGGCGGCAGCAGCTTCCAAAGCCCTAAACCCTAAACTCTCAAAAACCCTAAATTCCTCAGGTAAACCAACCAATCCTCTGAACCAGCGTTACATTTCGCAAGTCATAGAGCGAAAAGATTGGTTTTTGATACTGAATCAAGAATTCACCACTCATCGAATTGGTTTAAACATTCGATTCGTCATCAGCGTTTTGCAGAATCAAGACAACCCATTACACTCCCTGCGATTTTACCTCTGGGTCTCCAACACCGACCCGGTTTACGCTAAGGATCAGTCTCTGAAGAGCGTTCTAGGGAACGCACTTTTTCGTAAAGGCCCTTTATTGTTGTCTATGGAATTGCTTAAGGAGATTAGAGAATCAGGGTATCGAATTACTGATGAATTGATGTGTGTTTTGATCGGAAGCTGGGGAAGATTAGGTTTAGCTAAGTATTGTAATGATGTTTTTGCTCAGATATCTTTTCTTGGAATGAAACCAAGTACAAGGCTTTATAATGCTGTGATTGATGCGTTGGTGAAGTCTAATTCACTTAATTTGGCTTACGTGAAGTTTCAGCAGATGCGTAGTGATGATTGTAAACCTGATCGGTTTACCTATAATATACTCATCCATGGTGTTTGCAAGAAGGGTGTGGTTGATGAGGCGATTCGATTGGTTAAACAGATGGAACGAGAAGGGAACAGACCTAATGTGTTCACTTATACGATTTTGATCGACGGGTTTTTGATCGCGGGGAGGATTGAGGAGGCATTGAAGCAATTGGAGATGATGCAGGTAAGAAAGTTGAATCCTAATGAAGCTACAATCAGAACTTTGGTCCATGGGATTTTTCGTTGCTTGCCGCCGTGTGAAGCGTTTGAGGTTTTGCTTGGATTTATGGAGAAAAACTCGATTTTGCAAAGAGTAGCTTATGATACTGTGTTGTATTGTCTTTCAAACAACTCAATGGCTAAAGAGACTGCTCTATTCTTGAGGAAAACGGGTGAGCGAGGTTATATTCCGGATAGCTCAACGTTCAATGCTGCGATGAATTGTCTCTTAAAAGGGCATCATCTGGTTGAGACGTGTGGGATATTTGACTGTTTTGTCAGCCGTGGAGCTAAGCCAGGATTTAACGGTTATCTTGTATTAGTTCAAGCTCTGTTGAATGCTCAGAGGTTCTCTGCAGGTGACCGGTATCTGAAACAAATGGGTGGTGATGGGCTTCTATCAAGTGTATATACTTATAATGCGGTTATTGACTGTCTCTGCAAGGCTCGACGGACAGAGCATGCAGCAATGTTCTTAACAGAGATGCAGGATAGAGGTATTTCTCCGAATCTCATAACTTTCAATACTTTTCTAAGCGGTTATAGCGCGGGGGGCGATGTAAAGAAGGTTCACGGCGTGGTAGAGAAGCTTCTTGAACATGGTTGCAACCCAGACGTGATCACTTTCAGTTTGATCATAAACTGTCTTTGCCGAGCAAAAGAAATCAAAGATGCATTTGACTGTTTCAAGGAGATGTTGGAATGGGGGATTAAACCAAATGAGATCACATACAATATCCTGATTCGCTCCTCTTGTTCAACCGGAGATACCGGTAGATCAGTGAAGCTGTTTGCGAATATGAAGGAAAGCGGGTTAAGTCCAAACCTTTATGCGTACAATGCGATTATTCAGAGTTTTTGCAAGATGAAAAAGGTTAAGAAGGCTGAGGAATTGCTTAAAACAATGTTGAGGATTGGTTTGAAACCAGATAACTTTACATACAGCACTCTCATCAAAGCTCTAAGTGAATCTGGAAGAGAGAGTGAAGCGAGAGAGATGTTCAGTTCAATGGAAAGACATGGATGTGTTCCGGATTCATATACTAAGCGTCTTGTTGAAGAACTTGACCTTAGACAAAGTGGACTCTCGAGAGAAACCGTGTCAGCCTCATAGAAATCTAATCCTCGGGAGTTTGAAAACCCGATGAAGGCTTAGGGACTGGAAAAGTGGGTTCTTTTCATTTGGAAATGTCTGAGAAAGAACCCGATCTTGGCCACGGTTTGCCCCTTTGATGCAGATGCAAGAGAACCAGAACATGAGTGCAAATGCAGAACAGAGTATTAAGTTTTGTTCTTTGGATTGATGAAAGCTTTTATATATTTCCGCGTCCGAGAAAGTGGTGACAATGGTAATGGCAGTTGGTTGGTACTTGACAGTCAAAAAGGCAAAAGATTTCCTATTCTTAACACTAGATGGCCTTGTCCCTAAGTTATACCCTTACCGTGTAACAGTTTTGCCAGATTATATTTGAATAGTTTTGTTGTTTCTATCCAAACTAGTATTATACAACATAAATAAAGGCTTATCAAGCATTTATATGCTCTATGTTTAAGCTGCTGTTATATACTCGAACTCTGAAGATGACCCTAATTGGTTTTTTTTGTACATGTGGGATACAATGTAAAAGATGAGAAACGAACTAAGAATAGACCAATCTTGTTCAGGAATTTGAGAAAAGAAAACAAAGCAAGAACAGTAGTAATTAAATAATGCAAGAAACAAATTTTTGGGTATTGTAAATGGACTAATTGCTTTTGCCTTTTGAAAGTTGCTTGATTTGCACTGAACTTGGAACATAAGAGCACCCAACAAGAAAACATGCAGATTCTCCGAGATCCACTTTTCTCAAGCTGTGTTACGGTGTCTTATCTCTTTGTCCTTATCAAAAACCACAGCGACTTTCTTCTCCTCGTCAACGAAGAAATTTCCATAGCAAACAGTGAGTGGTTTCATGTCCACTGCTAATAACAACTTTCTCCACGAGACATCATTGGGCTCAATATTAGGAGATCTTGGGAATTACAAGATCGATTTGAAAGGAAAGTTAACATTTGTATGATATATTTTTATTGTTAAATAGATAGATTTTCTATTATCATATATGTAAAGAACTTGCTAATCAAGTTATGATCCTTATATAAATAAGCCTATTGACTAATGAATAAATTGAGAGAAACTATTCTACTACTAAGGTTTCCTCCAAAATCTATCATGGTATCAGAGCCTTGATCCTATTTCACTGTGGATTATGGTTCTGTTACGTTAGCTTCCGCGTTAAAAAAAAAATTTTTGATTTTCGTTCTTTTGTTTTGAAAAATCAAACATACTCCATTGATTTTCTTTAATAATATATCTTTGTCTCTTTATTTAGTCTTTGTTTTGAAAAATCAAATATACTTCATTGGTTTTTTTAATTTCTACTTTCGTTTCAAAAAACAAAACCAAAAAAAAAGAAAAAAAAGAAAGAAGAAGAAGAAGGAGAGAGACGTGATCAACTTTTTGATTTACGTTGTTGATTCGGTCAGTTTTTGGCAACGATTGGTTTCTTAACAGCTAGCAATTTTGCTAATTCCTTGGAGAAGAAGAAATCTTCAAGATGCTACAACTGAAAAAGATGAGGAAGATGGTGTTCGTCTCTTTCCATGAGAGACATGTGCACACTAGCACGTGGTTGTGCTTCTTTACCAATCTTCATGTGACTTCCTTTTAACTACGAACAAGACGGAAGCCACGAAGATCAACTCCAACGGGTATATACGGATCCGATGGGGTGATGACATGAGATGTTACTGTGAATTATGAGCATGAACTAATTGATGAGTTTGTTCAATTCACATGGTGATAAGACGATGGAGATACACAACTACTACAGTATCCTCCATCGAATGATGACCTTATGGCGAGATATAAACGCCATTAATGACCCTATAGTGGTATGAAGACCGTGAAGATGATTTGATGATTGTCCAATCTCATACGTGGTAACACGTATGAGCTTGCGGGAGGGTATTAGGAGATCTTGGGAATTACAAGATCGATTTGAAAGGAAAGTTAACATTTGTATGATATATTCTTATTGTTAAATAGATAGATTTTCTATTATCATATATGTAAAGAACTTGCTAATCAAGTTATGATCCTTGTATAAATAAGCCTATTGACTAATGAATAAATTGAGAGAAACTATTCTACTACTAAGGTTTCCTCCAAAATCTATCACTCAATCTTACTAGTAATCCATATCTCCATATGTAATGTATCATATCGCTGATATAACACTGCAAGTTGCTCTTCTCTAACACTAGAGAGAGCCACAATATCTTGACGATGAGAGTGGAATGGCAGAGGCAGAGCCGGTCTAAATCCCTCTGTTGTAAAATCAAAACAAAGCAAGAATTCACCCCTACCTCCTGCTCGAGTATACGTATAAGAATTTCCTTTACAGAGACTTCCATTTTATAAAATGCTGTCGCCCAATCGGAATTGAGATCAAGAACCCTCCATGAATTAGAATCTAACTCATAGATTTCGTAGCCAACACGTTTATCATCAATATAATAGTTAGCAGAAGTCACAATTTTGTAGCTGCGGCAGGATTTTTTCGTCTCGTATCCAATAGCATATATATATGCGTGACGACTTCTAGCTTCGATCCACCGAGTTTGGCCCCAATACGGATTCCAAAGCACATCCCTAGTGTTAGAGAAGCCATTTGTGATGCATACCAAACCACCGCAATGAAAGACTTGAGACACATCGGTTAGGTTAATAAGTTTACCATTACACTTTAATTTATAACGTCTTCTTCCTTGTGGAGATTGATGCTTACTAAACAAACCATATAATCCATCAACATAACAACCATAAATTCTTTAGCAGCTTTTGCTAGAAGGAGTTGTTTCTTTCTAAAGCTTTCTTCCTCGGCTAAAGTGTTCCACTTTTTGCAAGTCAATCGTACTGCTCTCATAGAATCCGTTGGAGCTCTAGAGAGTATCTCCTCTAACAAATCCCTTGGAAGATTGGACATCATCGTCATTATTTCGACAAAGATCGATGTAATAAGTTAGGTTACATGCGATGATGTGACCTTCAAAAACTCTTTCCAATTCCGTTTTTCTTTGTGGTTTGGTGTATTAGTACTGTAATTTCTTCTTATATAGTAGCTTATGGGCCTGGACTATCGCATTAAGCCCAATGGATATATTTATCTAACAGAGTTTTGCCATTATTTTATGTTGTCATTCGTAAGTCTTTTTAATTCATTTAATCTCTTCTTTACTTAGGTGTATGGTAATATTTCCGAATCAATATCAATATAATTCAGCGAAAAAAAAAAAAGGATTGTAAATAAAACTGAATATTATAAATCAAAATAAATCCACATATGAAAACAGAGTTAAACTTTTATTATCTCCAATAAATTTTGACAGTAGAAAAAATTTAAACCAAAAACTGAAAAAAGTATACACGTGAAAACTGAAAACACATTAATGTCAGGGCAGTGACCAATAATAAGGCAAAGCCGCAAATTTTGAAAACGGCGGGGTTTTTTAATTTTTTTTTTAAAGAATTCAAAATTAAATTAAACCTTCCCTCGTATATTTTCAGATTTTAGTAAGTTTTTGGCGGGTGGTCGAAAAGTAATAAAAGCTCCCGCTCGAGGGTATTTTAGTAAATTCAAAAACCCGAAATACTAGGGTTTCCGCCCCCGCCTTCCTCCTCAGTCCTCAATTATAAAATCCCTCTCCGTTTGTTTTATTCCGTTGCTACTAATCGCCGTCTCTCTCTCTCTTCCTTATCATCAACAAACTTGCTCTGCTCCGATCGCCTTTTTTTCTCTCTCTTAAAGATGTCTGAGGGATCAGAAGAAACGAAAACAAAGGTCGACTCTGCCGGAGAGTTATCAGATGTTGATAATGAGAATTGCAGTAGCAGCGGAAGTGGCGGTGGTAGTTCTGGTGATACCAAGAGAACTTGCGTTGATTGTGGAACTATCCGAACTCCTCTTTGGCGTGGTGGCCCTGCCGGACCAAAGGTGAGATTTTTAATCAACCCTTTAATTTCAATCTTCTTCTGGGTTATTGGGTCGTTGTTAGTTTCCGATTTTGTAGATCTAATCACCAGATCGCGAAATTAGCATCTGAGTATGATCCAATGTTAAGTTCTGATACTCTAGTAATCTAGGTGATTAATCAAGTTAGTGTTCTAGGAACTGAATCATGAAAAAGGGGTAATCCAAGTTAGTGATCATATTTAGTATGTGATTGGAAGGATCTGAGTCTATTTTCTTGATCCATTGATGGGAATCTGAAGTACTTCATTGGTTCTTATCGATTTGGTTTGTTTTTGTTATGTAGTCATTGTGCAATGCTTGTGGGATCAAGAGTAGGAAGAAGAGACAAGCTGCTCTTGGTATGAGATCAGAGGAGAAGAAGAAAAACAGAAAAAGCAGCGGTAATGATCTAAACCTCGATCATCGAAACGCCAAGAACGACAAGATCAACAAAGATGATGATGCCAAGAACGACAAGATCAACAAAGATGATGATGCCAAGAACGACAAGATCAACAAAGATGATGATCTTAAAACTTGCAATAGCAAGAGTTTTGGATTTAGGGTTTAAAGTTCCGGTGATGAAGAGATCAGCGGTTGAGAAGAAGAGGTTATGGAGGAAACTCGGTGAGGAAGAAAGAGCTGCTGTGCTTCTTATGGCGCTCTCTTGTAGCTCTGTTTACGCCTAAGTGTTTCTCTGTTTTTTTTTTGGTCATTAGGGAATAATTAAGTGAGAGCGATTTTGATTAACTTAGTTAGATAGAGAGATATGTATGATATGAATGTGTAATGTTATGTGTTCATTTTCTTAATGAATTCAAATATTAACACTTTTTTTGGTTCCTAGACATTCAATTCAATAATAATGAGAGTTGGTCGTAATTTTTGGTGCCTCAAATGGCTGTATGGGCCCGTATGGCCCAGGATATTGGGCTTTATCGGGGGAATCGTGAGGTGCGTGATTCTAGCTGTCTTGTCTCCATCAACTCCAACTTTTTTTTTTGTTTTTTGGTCCATTGATGTCGTTTTTCATTTGATTTGAATTTTTATAGGAGTATATGTTTTTTTGAATTCAAACTGGTTTAAAATTCAAATTTTTGTATGGTTTTGTTTTTTTTTTTAATATTATGCTGAGGTGGTATACTAATTTTCGATTTTTTCATGTTATTGAATGATGGTAATTTTTCGATTTTCACTTGGCAGAGTAATTTGTTTGTGTGAATAAAATTTGTTATGGTAACTCTGAAATAGTGAAATTGTAAATTGTAACTTTCAAAAGCAATAAGTTTTGTTTTTTCATGTAATTGTGATTCAACCTTAATAAGCCATCATTAATAAATTATAAATGATGGACCAACAAAATTATAAATAATGTTAAAAATATGGCAAAGTCATGAATCGTACTATATTAAAAAAAAAAAATCTAAATTGGTGACGAAAACATAATTAATTTGGGAAAAATATCATTAAAATCCCAAACTTATTCAAAACGTTGATTTAAATCCTCAACTCACGACGAAACGAAATAAATATCAAATTTATGTTGACTTTCCAAATAAATATTAAATTTATGTTGTCTTTCCAAATAAACACCAAACTTTCATTGACTTGGTCATATTAGGCATGACGTTAAGTGAGTTAACAGACAATGTTAACGGGATTAATTTTCTGTTAACAGACCCGCTAATTAATAATGACAGTATTGTTGAACTATAATCAAATCTCATCTAAGTCATATAACCTAAAGTCGTATTCATATAAGTTAGTTATTTACGTAAGAGTCACGAATATACGTACGTATAGTTGTATCTGTTCGTAAAGTTGTGTCTTTTCGATTAACATCATTGTGTGTAATACATTTTATCTTATTAATAAAGATCAAGTTTCTTCATACTCTATTTTTCTTTTGGTTTTGTTCTTCATACTCTGTTGAAACAGAGTTCGTTTGTTGATCAAAACACTAACAAGTATTCCTTCTAAACATAAAACGACGTTGTTTTGTCGTAACTGTTCAATAAAATCCCGAGTTTCAAATCATACTCTATTTAGGGTTAGGGATTTTGCTCGATTTGGGGATCTAAGATTGACTTTAGGGATTTAATTCAATCGTTACGACAAAACGACGTCGTTTTGTTGTTATATGAAACAATGTCGTTATCAATTAACATATATGTTAACAGAAAATTACCTCCATTAACGAGATCTATTAACCCACTTAACGTCGTACCTAATATGGCCAGGTCAACGGAAGTTTGATATTTATTTGGAAAGTCAACATAAGTTTGATATTTATTTAGAAAGTCAACATAAGTTTGATATTTATTTCGTTTTGTCATGAGTTGAGGATTTATTAACCCACTTAACGTCGTACCTAATATGGTCAGATCAACGGAAGTTTGATATTTATTTGGAAAGTCAATGAAAGTTTGGTGTTTATTTGGAAAGTCAACATAAGTTTAATATTTATTTGGAAAGTCAACATAAGTTTGATATTTATTTCGTTTCGTCACGAGTTGAGGATTTAAATCAACGTTTTGAATAAATCGGGGATTTTAACGACATTTTCCCTAATTAATTTATAAGGACACCGACACACCGTGGTGGACAAATGGTGACATGGCTAGGTAGTGGGTAGAGCCGTGAACCTCGAGAATGATTCAAATATAAAGGGCCAAGTGACTTCGTTTAACGGGACTTTCTTTGACCAAAGCTTCCCATTTATGTTTTCACGCTTATATTATGCAGTTCTTCAATTTAGGACCATTACTTCTATAGATTCCTTTATTTTCCGAAGCAAAAAAAGTAAGATTTAGCAGGTACAATTTAGGAATAACTTGTATATTTTCCATAAACACATTTCTAATTTAGAGACACGTTTTCCTTTTTCTTCACAAAATCAAATAAAATCTTCATAATATATTTGAGCTATCATATCAGTCAGTCAATGCATCCAAAAATTCCATAAGTATTCTTAAAGATCATTATAATTTTATAGACAGATATCAGTAAATATTTGAATCTAAATCATTTAAGCAAACATTCTATAAACTGTGTTTGATATCAATGTTTTTAGCTAACGCTTAGGTGTAATTACACATTTACATAATTACTACGATAAAGGTTGGGGTTGCATTTTTTAGTAATAGAAATATATGGTTCATCTTGTAATTTTGAAAAAGTAAATCCAGTCTCTTTTACAATTTGTTAAAAGAACAAAACCTTGTCTTTGGCTTTTGTTCGTAACCTTTGTTTACTTGAACAAGAAAAAACATTAAAATCTGACCAAACAAGCAAATATACGCAGTTTCAACGCGGACATAAATTTTCATTACAGCGTCTTACTAAGCTGTTTTGTTGTTTAACGCGGTCTCTTCCTCTCTTCAAATAAAAGCTCCAATTTTTCACCTTTTCATTTCCAAATTTTGTTTTGAAAAAAGAGATTTTTGTGACTCAAGAGATTTAGAGTAATCATGGGTTTAACTCCAAATTTCATTTCATGGATTCTTTTGTTATCTATCTTCACGGCGATTCAACTAACATCGTGTCAGCCCAACGCTCCTCCACCACGCTCTCCAGACTCTGATCTCTGCAACGGCGTGTTTGTTTCCTACACTTACTCAACCGGTACCAAGATTAAACCGAACGACACGAAGAACCAGCCGTACCGGTTCGAATCAGAGATCACAGTGCTCAACAACGGCCGCGACGAGCTTAAATCGTGGCGTGTCTTCGTTGGATTCGCCCACCGCGAGATTCTTGTTTCAGCCACCAACGCGGTTCTCTCCGATGGTTCTAGCCTCCCGGTTAGCGTCGAGAACGGGACAACCTTCGCCGGGTTTCCATCGGCGGATTTGAAGTCGGCGATTATGACGGCGGGTGACGTCACTCAGATGCAAGCACGTGTTAAGCTCGTGGGTACTCAGTTTGGAGTTGCGCCGCCGAATGTTCCGCTTCCGAAGAACATCACTCTTGTTAATGATGGATGGTCTTGTCCTAAACCCACTCAGCAAGGTACTAAATTATCTAAAATTGTATTACTTGAAGGCTTGAGTTTACTATGTAATTTGTTTTCATTTTCTTGTTTAATTGTTCATGATTTTTTATTTGAATGTTGTGTGATCTTGGGTTGCTTATCTCATTACGAAAGCATTACCAAGAGTTTTAAAATTCGAGAATTGATCACATTGACTAGGTCTATTTATGATCAATGGAGTAGTTGAAAAAGTCTATTGCTGTTGTAGATTACTTGTATACTAAAAGTTTGAACTAGTCTTATAAGCATATTGAGATATACCTTAAGTTAGTTAGGAAACTATTTCATGCTTGGCTTTTCTGATTAATGAGCGGGAATATCTGATTAAACATTGGAATTTAAGCAGTTCAGTTTGCATATTTGTTATTCTTTAACTTATTGATCATAAGACTTGTTTGTGTTGTGGTTTAAATGAAATGCATTAGAGATTGCTGCAAGCATAAATGTTTCCTTTGTGTTTCACTGACATTTCTATTCTTCTCTTATGGTTTTTTTTTTTCAGGTAGGAATGTTCTGCAAGTATGTTGCACGCCGAATCCGAATATAACAACAGGCAAAATTGGTGAAATGTTCCTTCCTAGGCAAGAGGGAGATCTAACCATAATGTACGATGTGACCAAAGCATATCAGTCGAATTACTTGGCGCAGGTCACTATCGAGAATCATAACTTGCTTGGTCGGCTTGACAATTGGAATCTAAGTTTTTTGTGGATGAAAGATGAGTTTATCTTCACAACCAAAGGAGCTTATCCGAGTGTTGTCGATTCATCAGATTGCATCAATGGTCCTCAAGCAAAATACTATAAAGATCTTGACTTCTCTCATGTCTTGAGCTGTGCAAGAAGGCCACACATCATAGACCTCCCTCTTACTAAGTATAACGATACCGATTTCGGGCGTATCCCATATTGCTGCAGAAACGGAACGATTCTGCCACGGTCCATGGATCCAGAGAAGTCAAAATCAGTCTTTCAAATACAAGTTTACAAAATGCCTCCAGATCTCAACATGTCTGCCATAACACCTCCCCAGAGCTGGCAGATTAAAGGGAACCTTAACCCGGATTACAAATGTGGTCCTCCTGTTCGAGTCAGCTCGAGCCAGTTCCCTGATCCAAGCGGTTTACCCTCAAACCGGAGTGCATTTGCTAGCTGGCAAGTCGTCTGCAACATCACTCAACCAGTTACTCCTAAATGCTGTGTCTCATTCTCTTCTTACTTCAATGATTCAATAATCCCCTGTAAGACCTGCGCTTGTGGAGGTTGCACTAGCGACAGAGTGGCGCGTACTTGCAGCACAACTTCTCCAGCTCTTCTTCTTCCATCTCAGGCTCTTCTTATTCCATTTGAGAACCGAACCAAACTTACTACCGCTTGGGCAGAGTTAAAACACCGGAAAGTCCCGGACCCATTGCCTTGTGGAGATAACTGTGGAGTCAGTATAAACTGGCATCTAGCCACGGACTATCGAGGCGGATGGACTGCTCGGGTCACACTCTTCAATTGGGGTGAAACTGACTTCGTGGATTGGTTTACCGCGGTTGAACTGAGAAATGCTGCACCCGGTTTCGAGAAAGCTTACTCGTTTAACGGAACTACCATCGCCATCAACGGAAAGAACACCACTGTTTTAATGGAAGGGCTCCCTGGACTAAACTATCTTCTTGCAGAGAGAGACGGAAAAAACCCGAGTAAGGACTTTCGGTTACCTGGGAAACAGCAGTCGGTTATCTCCTTCACCAAGAAACTAACTCCTGGACTCAAAGTTGGTTCTAGAGATGGGTTTCCGACCAAAGTATTATTCAACGGGC